GAGACCCCTGGGGGTCCATAGATTCGAATATCCCTCTATTCGTAGACCTAGTATCAAGATTTAATAATTAAGTTGACTGTCCTCATACTCCGTCAGGTAATGGGTGCCAAAAACACTATCGCCTCGATACCCCATCTGATATGAGAGTGAATCATATCACCCAAAACCCTTTCGGTATGGGACTTCTCAAACCTGTTCGATTAAGGTAATGTTCACGGTAGGGTTCCCTATATATTAGATCCATCCACAATTTCCCAGGATGCCCAATAAGTTTTTATTTATTTAAATTCTTATCATCCAAACAACTACCAAAGCATACCGACGTCTTATTTCATATTTACCGATTAATTTGAACGATATTTAAACAAACAATATAGTTTAATATAACCAAATAACCAAATAACCAGATAACCAAATAAATAATATAGGAGAGACCAAATAACTAAATAATCGAGAAGACAAAAAAAACTATCAATATAATACGCACAATATAATAGTAAGCCATTTAAGTAGTATAGAAAAATAAATAGAGAATCAAGATAAATAATAAACTAACCGATTCTGACTCTATTAGTGACTTGTAGTTATTTTTTTTTGAATTTTTCTAATTTTTCACAAAATATACAATTATCGATTATTAATCATTAATTTACCGTAATAGAGAATAAGGTAAGGGATCCTTACCTGGATCGGTGTTTTGAAATGTTGTGCTGCCAACTACGCCTCTTGATGGGGTCTGAGTTTCCTAAATTTTTCCTGCATAAATTAAATTACTTGTCACCTACTCAAAAATATCCAAAAATCTCAAAATCGGTGTCGAAACTCCTTTCCAATATATTTTAGGATTCTGACACGGCACCGTCGCTACCCATGGCAGCAGTTTGCCTCGGTTTGGTCGGTTTTGGCCAGTTTTGACCGGTTTCGACCAGTTTTAGCCAATTTTGGCTGGTGTTACACGTATTCATGCAGAAAAATACGATAGAGGCCTTGGTTGGCCAGAAAATTAAAAAAAAAAACTGAACCTACAGTAGAAGGGGGGGGGGGGTCTCCGGGTGAGGTGGCTCCGATGGTTCTCCTTTGCGGCTGGGGTTTCTTCTTTGGCTAACCTGCACAGAAAAAAAGGTGAACACAATGATAAAAAAATTGTGTGATACAGAAAACGAAAAGGGGATCATCGGAGGGGTTTTAGTGTTTTTGCCGCGACGGATCTGCCAAGCTTTACTTATAGTTTTCATCTTACCTGTCGTTTCTTTACTTCGATATGGTCAAAAGGAGACTCGAAATTGAATTCCAAGTAGAAATGAGAAAATTTTACCTTCATTGGTGGTCGGCGGTGGCTCTAGTGTAACGGCGTTTAGGGGTCGGTCTCCTTCTCCGGCGGTTGGTTCTTCTTCTCCGAAAATGGTAAGTGTGGTAGGGTTAGGGTTTCCTGAGACACGATGTTTAAATACCCATCCCGTATCGACCTAAGTCGTTCTTCTGCATCAACGTGGAGCGATCATTATTTGTTTAGGCTGGTTGTGTGGGCAAATCGGGACTATTCATCGCGATTGATCTCGTCTGTCCGATCATATTTAAAGAGGGAATGCATTTGAGTCGTCCGTGCGTGCGGGATGTGATCGGAACTGTCGGATTGTCAGGCATGCAGATTGCCCGCGTGGTGCCGATATCAGCGTGTTTTGCCACGCGACGTGCTTTGAATGGTCGTGGCTACTGACTGGATTGTTCTACGTGACTGAATTTCTCTTTTTTTTTTTGCGATTTTACCTGTTGTTTTCAAGTTTTTTTTTTAAAACACATCTTTTATTCAAATTTAACATATTTTTTTAAAATTGTTTTCAATTTCATGTCTATTTTATTTTTTTATAATTAAAATAAAATAAATTATTTATATAATTATTATAAATAAAAAGGATAATCGCTAGCCAATTTTTGAATTCGGGTATTGCATATGTTATTATATAAATCAATATAGTAATATTTATTATTATATTTTATAAAATTATGAAGCGGAAGATGTAGATACATGATAATTTATATGATGTTTTTTTTTTTGAAAAAAATGTTATTTTAAAAATAAATTTAATTGCAATTTTCTTCTGGGAGTTACAATGGTAATAAGGGAAAAAAGAAAAAGTGGGTCAGTATGATTATTTTTTAAAAGAAAAAGAAAAAGAAAAAGAAAAGAAAGGAAAAAGAAAAACAGTGTGGGGGCATGTGAAGGGAGTGATAATGGAGAAAGACAAGGAGAATCAAAGAGGAGTGGTAGGGCAGACGACAAATATCGTCGGTGGCACGAACCCCGCCCAACCAACACGCCGGCGTGGCTCCGTCCTTTCCATACCCAAGTTGCTCGTGCCCCCTCCCGACCTCCGACCCTCCCCCTTTTCTTTTCTTTTCTTTTTAAATAAATTAATAAGTCCTCAAACCATGGTTCATATTTCTCTATGTTTATATCGTGTGTTGTATATTTGGTAGTTTCTACACATGTTCATTATTTTTATTTTTTGATCCTTGAAAAACAATCAACTAAATTCTTAAAATTATTGAACTCAGTAAATTATCTTTTTAATTTGTATGAGTTTTGCAACACGTAGAAACTAAGTTATTATTATTTTATCATAATCCGTGTATATTTGGTTAAAAGAGTGAGAATAAAATAATTATTAAATAATATTATAATGGGTAAATTTTATTTTGTTTTCAAAATTTGTTATTTTGTACATAAATTATCTTTTTTTTTTAAAAAAAAAAAATTATACAATAAATATTTTATTTTTACAAACTATTATACATTTTGTTCTCTCATTGTTTACTCAATTTAAACACTTTTTTTCACTTAAAAATACGTGCACATATTTTTTTGAAATAAACCCATACAATAATAATGCACGTAACATACATTATTAATATCCAAAATACACCCCACATCTTGAATTATAATTAGATAAAATTATTTTATCTTTTTAATATATATGATTAGTATTTAAAAAACCCTTGAGGGGTGGAAAGGGAAAAGAAAAATAAGAGAAAAGATGTAGCGGGGCAGTGCCTGACGATGCCAAGACACGGCATGGCCCAAATGCCGCTCCCGGTTACTGTCACCAAACCCAATCCCCAAGACTTGTTGGGTTTTGTTTTTGCCCTCTTTTTATTTATTAATTTTGTGTTGTTGATTTTTAGAGTAGTCATGATGGTTTGCCATCAAACCCATCCCCCCACTAATTTACATTTCCCCATGGGACCTCATGCTTCTTCTATCTTACTTTCAAATCAATCTCCTCTTCTCCATTCTTCCATTTTTATTTTATTCAATTCCATTATCTAAAATGTTATTTATGCTCTCTCTATTATCATACATTCAATTAAATTTTATTTTATTTTTTTATCTATTATAACCTATGTGTTAAAATGAATTAATAAATTCTACCACTCACTAATTTATAAATAAATTATATTTTATTGTAGTATATTACAAAATAAAATTTTTATATAAAATTATAAGTTTTAATTAAATAATTTAGTTCACAACTTATTAAAATATAAATAAATAAAGTCATATTAGTTAAAATCAAACTAATTTAATAATTTATTATTAGCATATTCTGAATAGAGATAGTGAATAATTTTTTAAATGTTTGTCTTTTAAGTTTATAAAAAAAAATTTAATTTTTTTTTAAATAATTAAATATTACACAAAACAAATGATTATTTATGTTTATATGAAATAATTTCGTTATATTTAATTTTATGTACTGTTGAAAAATGATGTTATTATGAATTTGAGGTGACAGTGACTCCAAAAGTTTTTCTAACGTGATTAAGTTTTGATATCTTTCTTTTTTTTTTTTTTGGAAGAAAAGATAAAGAAAAAGAGAAGGTGATTATGCTTTAAAAAGAAAATAAATTTTCTTAAAAAAAATAAATAAAAAGAAACTGAGAGTCTTATAATTCATTCTATTCATTTTTGAATTGTAAATTTTTCCCACACAAACGAATAAATAATTTGATAAAAAAAAATAAAAATAAAAATAAAAGGAACCCATTAATTTCAAAACTAATATAACTATATATACATTACTTACAAAATTTAATTTTCAAATGATTTAAAATATTTATAGTGTAAATTTAACGTGAAAAAAATAGAAAATATAAATGATTATAGCATATGATATGGTTGAAATTAATTCACATAAGGGACCCAATCCATAACCAAAATGTTTGATGTGTGTCTCCTCTCTTGGCTCTTTGTGCATGCATACCCACAAGACTCAGATCCCTACTGTTATCTTATCACTATTTTAATTTCCCTTTTTGACTCTTCATTTGGTTTTTTCTTCTTCTAATCTATCATTCCCTTTTGTTGCCTTTCACCCACTCTTTACTCATTGTCTTAGTCCTTTCCCTTCATTTATTTATTACATGATTGAGTACCTTCGTAAAACGACGTCGCTTTTGGATATAAAGTCATCAAACCAACTATTCTTTTTAACCATTTCATAAAAAGGTGGGTAGTTTTGCCACTTCATTTGTAAAATATAGATCAAATATAATTTCAACTTGGATATTATTTTCCTGTATTTAGTTTAAAAAAATAAGAAGCGAGCACAATGAGCCGTGACCCGGACCCTAATTGGATGGGCCGAGTCTAGTTAGGCTGCCCTTTTAAATGGGTTTTGGTATTGGCCTATTTCCCTGGTGAACGGGGTCCAATCTAAACCATTTTTTAAATATGGGCCTCTAATTGGTTACTAAGCGTGGCTATTTATGATAAAACGCAGCGTTTTATGGCCCAATTGTGTTGATTTCTTATTGGATCCAGTGGGGTTACAGCTCTGAGCCGAATCAACGAGAGGGCCCGCTAAATGGTCCAAAGGTTCCGCTTCCCGCTGGGACCCAGCCTGAAAGTTGGTCATCTTCTTCGCTTTGATGGTGCGACGTCGCCTCGTACTTAAATTTCTGCATTAATTTTGGAAGAATTTTTTTTTTTTTTTTTCATATATTTATTAAAAAAAAAATTAGAAAAACGAGCATGATTTTGATGACCGGAAAGACCCTGCTGATGCTTACTTCTTTAATGGATCCCCTGTGAGATCTAACGTGAAATTGCGGTTGTATGGTTTTATCACTCTTTTCTTCAATGAAATGTTCCTCAAATCTCTTCCCCTAAACCCTAATTTGATCTCTCTCTGATCTACTTCTCCCATCTTCTTCGTCATTTTGAATCCTCTGTGCGAGGAGCTGTAAAATTAAAATATCAGTGAAGATGTACATGGCATATGGATGGCCTCAGGTGATTCCACTGGAACAAGGGCTTTGCCCGTCTTCTCAACGGATCGTATATCTCAAGCTCATCAATCGCACCTTGCTCGTTGTCTGTCCTACTCACCTCGAGCTCTGGAGCTCTTGTCAGGTATATATCGATGACTTTCGCGCATTTCCGTGCTTTTATATGTGTGTGTCTGAGGTTTTGATTTGTAGTTACGGTTTTCACTAAGTTAATTCGTGCATTTGACTGACTGTTGTTTGGTTTGGGCATTTGGTTTTGGACGGAACGGGGGACGGGGGTTGTCATAATGCAGCATAGAGTGAGGTTAGGGAAGTACAAAAGAGATTCGGAGTCAGTTGAAAGGGAGGGTGAGAATTTGCAAGCAGTGTGGAGCCTGGATGGAAAGTTGATCGCGGTTCTTGTAAGTTTTCCTTTCCGTTCCTTAACGAGATTGTTGATATCTTAATTTGTTCTACTGTCGTAATTACTGCTATGCAGGTTTCCTCGTATACTTCGTGCATGTTATTTCTCCTTGTTTTGACGTTATACAAAGCTGTATAATTATACCTACGCGTTTCTGATTTGGATTAATGTTGGCTTGGCATATTTAGTATTACTAGCAAAATGTCTCACTTTATGAAAATCCAGAAATGGAATTCGCTTATGTGGTATTCCTTTTTTCCCTAATGCAAGTGCTACTACCATTTGCATTTAGAAGTACACCAGCATGGAAGCAAGTTCGTTTGACGAATTGAGTTTGCCATTGAGAAAAAACAAGACTGCTTGAGTTTGCCATCTCAGAAGTGCAATGGCTGTATGTTGCTATAGCCTATAGGTGTATACTTGTGTATTTGGGAATGAAATTTAGATTTATTGGAAGAGTGGGCTGATGGCTTATGGCATCTATCATAATCAAAGAGAAGAAAGAAAAGAAAGAAAAAAAGAAGAGAAAGAAGCTGATTATTGTTATCAGGACAACATTTGTTGTTTCATATGTATATTTTATTTGCTCTCATTTGTTTTATAGCCATTAAGTTTTTGAACGAGAAACATGAGTTACGGCTTCAAGTGTGTTTTATCGTGAGAAGAGGCACAATAGGTTGATGCGAACCAGGCTTTTTATTTCACACAAAATTTTAATTTTCTCTGGCGACATTTAGTTTATGGAGTATGCATACACTTGATTCCTTATTGCTTACGTATTTGTGGTTTTGATTTTTTTACAGACATCATCTTTCTTTCTTCATATTTTTAAAGTCCAGTTCACTGAAAAACGAATACAAATAGGAGGGAAACAACCTTCAGGATTGTTTCTTGCAACTATAACCCTTCTTCTAGATGAGCAGGTCCCTTTTGCAAAGAAGAACTTGTCTTTGTAAGTGTCATTCCATTCCATTTGCTTGTTTCCTTTTTTTCTGCTGCTTATAAAATTCTGAAAGTTCTTTGTATCAAGCAAGTCAATATGAAATATAATTTCCCTGACTGAAATCAGCAGTATTGATTCTCCTATATTATCTTATTGATGTGAACTTATATGGAGGATGCAAATATCGGTTCAAACTTCTAGAAGCTTAAAAGGTACCTGTATTTAAGGCTGATATAGAAAGCATGATAAACCGTGTAAAAAAATGAGGACATTTGGAAAATAATACGACTTGCTAATTGTGCAGTGTTTGAAATGATGTCTCATGAGTGTGTTCTTTTTCCAAGTTACTGAAAACTAGATTTGACTTTTAGTGTGAAGTTAATTTTGTTACAGCTGCATATACTCCCACTAGATGTTGTATCGTTTTAATTATATCCCCTGTTTCATTAATCATCATTCTTTTGGTGTGCTTAAGATTTTTTGGCTATTTGTGTTGATATCATGCTTCTTATCCTTCTTAGTTCTCATCTCTTCTCTGCAGGAGTAATATTGTTTGTGATAGCAAACATATACTACTGGGACTTTCTGATGGATGTTTATATAGCATCTCCTGGAAGGGAGAGGTAATACTGTTGTTTTGCTAATATACCTATTTTCCCTGTCTTTTTCTATTCACTATACTCTTATGCTAATCTTGTACTATTATTTCAGCATATAGATTATTTTTTAAAAAATATTTCATTATATAGATTAATTATTCTTTTGGTCATTAATATTGTTTTTATGTTTTTTTCTTCAGTTCTGTGGATCTTTTGAACTTGACTGTAATCCACATGATAAGAATGAAGTTACATTGTTATCACATTCCATGGGTAATGGTCTTGCTTCTGGGGATGCTCAAGGAGTTTTGCCTTCCGATTGCAAAATCTCTAGAAGATCTGCTATCATCCAACTGGAGTTTTGCTTTCCTATGAGGTTGCTATTTGTTTTATATTCAGATGGACAACTGGTATCATGCTCTGTGAGCAAGAAAGGCTTAAAGCAAGCTGAAAATATCATATTTGAGAAGAGGATGGGTGCGGGTGATGCTGTCTGTACTTCTGTAGCTTCAGAGCAACAAATCCTGGCTGTTGGTACCAGAAGAGGGGTTGTTGAGTTATATGACCTGGCAGAATCTTCGTCCCTCATACGTTCTGTTTCTCTATATGACTGGGGGTAAGAAGGCTTGCAAATCAATACCTTAGAGTTTTAGTTCTTATTAAATTTCTCAGAGAATTCTAAGCAATGTATGCATCTCAATTAATTTTTATTTTCAAAATAATATTCAGTTGTATGTGGATTTTGGCACTTCTAGATAATGGCTTTGTCTTCTCTCTCGATACCCTTATGGTCCAAGGATGGAATGAATGGAAATAGAGGATCATGAGCGGACATGTGCTCAAGTGAGAATTGAAACTTTTAGGCATTAATTTTGGGTCGTCCAATTAAATTTCGCTTCTTAAGCTGCAGTAAAGTTTTGAATTCTTTACTCTTGCTATACAGTCAATAATAACATGTTCCATCATTGTCATTTGTTGCTCAGATAATATTACTTCGTAAATTTCTTTACCAGTTTGTCTTCAGATGGTGTTGTTTCTGGGACTCAAACCCAGATTAGATCTAAGGTTTACACTTTTAGATAGTTTTTAAAATCTTGCCTTAATGAGCAATGTGATTGATGGTGACCATTTATCTGCATTTAAGCTACTTACTAGCTGAATCTGTATGTAGTTTAAGTGTCTACAATCAAAGCTTATGTCAGTTTTTCCCCTTTTTCTTATGGGAACAGAAGTTCATAACATATGAGGGTTTCTTCCAGAATAGATTTTCATGTCTCAGTCTGGGTTATTTGGCAGATATTCGATGGATGACACTGGTCCTGTTAGTTGTATTGCATGGACACCTGATGATTCTGCTTTTGCTGTTGGGTGGAAGTTTAGAGGACTTACAGTTTGGTCTGTTTCTGGCTGCCGATTGATGTCCACAATTCGTCAAATTGGTTTGAGTTCTGTATCTTCTCCAAGGGTTAAGCCAAATCAGGATTGTAAATATGAACCAATGATTAGTGGCACTTCAATGATGCAGTGGGATGAATACGGATATAGGCTTTATGCTATTGAGGAAGAATCATCAGAGAGAGTTCTTGCCTTTTCTTTCGGCAAATGTTGCCTTAACAGAGGAGTTTCAGGGACAACTTATGTTCGTCAAGTGATTTACGGTGAAGATAGGTTGCTTATTGTGCAGTCAGAAGATACTGATGAGCTTAAAATTCTACATTTAAGCCTTCCAGTTACGTATTCAAATGAAAATATTGACCAGTTGTTGTCTTCATTTGCTTTTACACTACTATTCTCTGATAGAGGTTTTCTGGTCTGGTCTAGGTTTCTTATATTTCCCAAAATTGGCCAGTTCAGCATGTAGCTGCTAGCAAGGATGGAATGTATTTAGCAGTTGCTGGTCTACATGGATTAATTTTATATGATATACGATTGAAAAAGTGGCGTGTGTTTGGAGATATCACTCAAGAGCAGAAGATTCAGTGCAAAGGTTTGTTGTGGTTAGGGAAGATTGTTGTCGTCTGCAACTATATTGATTCGTCTAACACGTGAGACACAAACTTTACTTCATGTCTTAGCTACTTCTTTTAAGTTTGGAATTGATAAAGGTTTTGGATGATTTCATTGCCACCAACATGATCATTGCTATTGTTTTGTTCTTAGATATGGTTATTTATGATGTTCAATGGTCCATTGTAGGTATGAATTGCTCTTTTATCCTAGATATCACCTTGATCAGAGCTCTTTACTTTGTCGGAAGCAATTGCTTGCCAAACCAATGGTGATGGATGTATACCAAGATTACATACTTGCGACCTATCGCCCTTTTGATGTTCATATATTCCATGTGAAATTGTCTAGTGAATTAACACCTTCTAGTACACCAAACCTACAGGTAAAGCAATGCTTTTAAGCTATTTTCTCTTAAGGAACTTTTTGAGGAGTGAGAAATTCTGTAAATAAGAATGTTATCCCTGATAGTTGTGCACTCTGGAAGTTTCAGTATGCACTTCAAATAAGAGTGCTTTGCTTAAACTTATTCTTCATAAAATTTAAGTGATAAAATGACAAACAGCTTTCTACAGTACGAGAACTCTCAATCATGACTGCAAAGAGTCATCCAGCAGCAATGAGATTTATTCCTGATCAGCTCCCAAGAGAATGCATCACAAGCAATGAGAACTCTCCTTCAGATTTTTCAGTCAGAGAGCCTGCAAGGTATCTGTTGGGGGCTCAATAATGTGACTTTCTTCTTTCAAAAAATAATGATAGAAGTCTATGTGAAAAAAGCATCTGAATGATTCTCTACTTTGCTAGATGTCTGATTTTGAGAGCAAACGGGGATCTGTCACTTCTTGACTTGGATGATGGGCGAGAGCGAGAGCTTACTGACTCTGTTGAATTATTCTGGGTAACCTGTGGTCAGTCAGAGGAGAAAACAAATCTTATTGAGGAAGTTTCCTGGTTAGATTATGGCCACCGAGGAATGCAGGTAAACAACTGTTAAGATTGATAGAATACTTTCTTATACTCTGCCAGACCGTAACAGTTTAATTTATTTTAGCCAGTAGTTCTTGTCTGATATAGATTCTGGTTGGAAGCTTACTTTTACAGGTTTGGTATCCATCTCTTGGTGTTGATCCCTTTAAGCAGGAGGATTTCTTGCAGGTAATATCTTTCTATTTTGATGTTTAGTTAATAGTTAGACCAGGAAAGGTGAATGTTTGCATAACTTGTTTGGTCAGTTATATGCTTCTTCTCATCTTCTTTGATAATGTAATTTTGTTTGGTCGATTGGTGAATTAGTAAATAAATCATCTAGAAGAAGGGTAATTGCATTTGGGTTTATCCATGTTTCTCTGCTTTTGATTGATACTGCAAGAATTGAGTTTCGTAAATGGTTCTGGTTATCCTTTACAATCTGATATAGATTCCATTCTAACTGTATGCATGTATCTTTGTTTTATTAATTCAGTATGTTGATATTCTTTCAATGGTTTGGTAATTTTGATATCCTTTCATGCATCATTTGTTTACTATAACAAAACATTTTATATTTCAGTTGGACCCAGAGTTGGAATTTGATCGTGAGGTGTATCCTCTGGGACTTCTTCCAAATGCCGGTGTTGTTGTCGGTGTTTCCCAGAGAATGTCTTTTTCAGCTTGCACAGAGTTTCCATGTTTTGAGCCTACACCTCAAGCTCAAACTATACTGCATTGCTTACTTCGCCATCTTCTTCAGGTATTAACTTTTGGCTCCTTGCTCTTGAGTATGGATGTTAAATTCATTCGTCCTCTTATATATGTGCATGTATATGGAG